GGCGACAAATACCAACTGCGATCACGCTGGTCAACACACTTTGTCTGGCACGAGGTATTCCAAGGGTTTTAATGTAATTTGGACTTTTGCAGCTGTTCTATACTAATTTCAGGGTGCTGATTCCAAATCTGGCATCAGTTTTTGTCTATCACGTCAGGTTTTTGAAATATCAAATATTGCATTTTCAATAAAAACTGCGGAAGAAAAATATTAAATAAATGTGGATATCTACATAAAATGATATTCTAAACACACTATCCTAAACATACAGCACCATATTTTAACACTAAAGCAGTCACTGACTCGCAACCACTTGCAATCATAAGTGACAGAGTTAATTTCGGGTAAAATCAATGAAAATGGGGTATGCCGATAGCATAAAAATGAGATGTGATGGAGCAAATCTGAGATCAGATTTGGAATCAGCACCCTGAAATTAGTCTAGAACAGCTGCAAAAGTCCAGGCCAGAAAAACATGTTGTTTTTTGTTGACCAGTGTAATTATTTGATTTCTGAGATGCCGCATCGGAGCCATAGAGCACAGGGTTTGTGTTTTATTGTCGTAGTTTTGTAATGGCTTCGTTCGTGGTGCGTGCCCGTCGTCGTGGTAATGAACACGGCGTGTTGTGTTCACTAAAGACAATTCCGCTCGTGCACAATGTTACAGGAAGCGCAGTTTGAAGTAATTCGGTACAAACTAATTGAATTGAGTCCACGGCCACGTGTATTGGCGTTTTTTTGTTAGTTTTGTTAACCAGCCGAGATCCTATTGTCATCTGCAAGGGGTGGGGGAGGGGGGTAAATCCCCAGATCGAGCGCGTTTGTACGCCACAGAATCCGCAAGTACGCGACGGAGTTAGGCAACAGAACTGCCTCTCTCCCGCGGAGACTTGTTTTTTGCTTCGTTACTCGCACATCCCTATGATCCTCCGAGGGCGCTGGGTCCACACCAACATCTCCCAACCGCAGCCGCTCCGATTCTGCCTTTTATTTTTTTGTGTTGCCGTGAATTTCCGTGGCTTATTTTTTTTTATTTCCCAGCGGATAAAGGATAAGCGACGATATTTCCCCCCACCGCCCCCGCCCCCCCCGTGTCAAAGTGTATAACAGGAGCACTTTTCTAATAAAAATTTTTTTTTTAATAATCTGTAATTGTGGAGTGCTTTGATGTTGTCTGCCGGCCGTGTCGCCCTTGAAAAGGAGGGCTTGTCAGCTGGTCCGGGCTTTCTTCGTCCAGTGAAACTTCTGAACTTCTGAAAAAAATAGAGCTTCGAAGCTCATCGGATTTCTCAAATTTAAAATAAATATTCTGATTCGTATAACTATAGACACACAACGTACGGAGGAGCGCTGTGTTCATGCCCTGCTGCTGGATGAATGCCTCCCCCTCGCCGTGGGCATTGTTTGACCATACTTCACCACGCTGGTCACCGCGGGGATGTGGTGAAAGGCAACCACGATGTGGTTCAGATGTGACTCACCGCTGATGTCAGCAGTGGCCGGGAATTGAAACTCAAGTTGCTGGATTTGCAGCGGAGTGCTGTAAACTAAACTAGAAAATAGTTAAGTTTAGTTTGTGTACATTTTGTAAGTGATTCGATTACCTTTCCTCTACTTAGGACTCCTATTGTGTCTCTGTGTCGTTTGTTGTTGGCACGTTCTGACCTGCCCCGACTTGACATCTGTCTAAAAGAGCTTTATCGCTCATCGGATTCCTCCAGTATAAACACTCTGATGGTGTGCGCTAACAACTGCGCCACCGCTCCACGCCGAGCGCTCATGCTGCCAGCTCGTGCATTGTGCGCACACGCGGTGGTCACACACAACAACGCGTCTCATGAAGACAAAACACTCAGCACGTTCGTCAACAATGTTGTGGCCTTCAAATAAAACAAATTAGATGTTGGCCAATGGAATTTGCTGATATCACACACACACACATACTCTTAGGTTGTTTTTCTTTCGGTAAAGCCACGTAGGTAAAAATTTTAAATTAATAAAAGTAAAATAAAATAAAAATCACGACATTTCAGTTTGTACAAACTGAGTTGCAGTGGTGATGGTGGTGGTGATCATGGTGATGATGGTGGTGGTGATGGTGGTGGTGATGGTGGTGGTGATGGTGGTGATGATGGTGGTGGTGATGGTGGTGGTGATGGTGGTGGTGATCATGGTGATGATGGTGGTGATGGTGGTGATGATGGTGATGATGGTGGTGGTGATGGTGGTGGTGATGGTGGTGGTGATGGTGGTGATGATGGTGGTGGTGATGGTGGTGGTGATGGTGGTGATGATGGAGGTGGTGATGGTGGTGGTGATGGTGGTGTTGATGGTGGTGATGATGGAGGTGGTGATGTTGGAAGTAGAGGTCGTGGTGTTGGTGGACGTTACAGTGGTGGTGGTAATAGTGGAGGTGGTGGTGATGGTAGTGATGGAGGTGGCCTCACCACCACCACCATCACTCACCACCATCACTCACCACCACCACCCTCACCACCATCACTCACCACCACCACCCTCACCACCATCACTCACCACCATCACTCACCACCGTGATGATGATGATGAGAGAGATCGAACCCACGACCTCCTGTAGACCAGGCGAGGTAGTCAACATCTCATAGCCACCGTGATGATGAGAGAGATCGAACCCACGACCTCCTGTAGACCAGGCGAGGTGGTCAACATCTCATAGCCACCGTGATGATGATGAGAGATCGAACCCACGACCTCCTGTAGACCAGGCGAGGTGGTCAACATCTCATAGCCACCGTGATGATGATGAGAGATCGAACCCACGACCTCCTGTAGACCAGGCGAGGTGGTCAACATCTCATAGCCACCGTGATGATGATGAGAGATCGAACCCACGACCTCCTGTAGACCAGGCGAGGTGGTCAACATCTCATAGCCACCGTGATGATGATGGGAGATCGAACCCACGACCTCCTGTAGACCAGGCGAGGTGGTCAACATCTCATAGCCACCGTGATGATGATGAGAGAGATCGAACCCACGACCTCCTGTAGACCAGGCGAGGTGGTCAACATCTCATAGCCACCGTGATGATGATGAGAGAGAGATCGAACCCACGACCTCCTGTAGACCAGGCGAGGTAGTCAACATCTCATAGCCACCGTGATGATGATGGGAGATCGAACCCACGACCTCCTGTAGACCAGGCGAGGTGGTCAACATCTCATAGCCACCGTGATGATGAGAGAGAGATCGAACCCACGACCTCCTGTAGACCAGGCGAGGTGGTCAACATCTCATAGCCACCGTGATGATGAGAGAGAGATCGAACCCACGACCTCCTGTAGACCAGGCGAGGTAGGTCAACATCTCATAGCCACCGTGATGATGATGGGAGATCGAACCCACGACCTCCTGTAGACCAGGCGAGGTGGTCAACATCTCATAGCCACCGTGATGATGAGAGAGAGATCGAACCCACGGCCTCCTGTAGACCAGGCGAGGTGGTCAACATCTCATAGCCACATGGAGCCATCGGAACGGATAATGTAATCGATGATAATCGATCATCAGAGAGAGGGAGACACGCAAAACGATGATTATAATCGATGGGAATCGATTAGCAGAGAGAGACGCGCAAACCAACGATTATAATCGATGAGATTCGATTATAATCGATGAGAATCGAACAAACGATTCCCGGTGACGTCATAACCCGGAGACCATCGCCAAGTTCAAGATGGCGGCACCCAGGTTGGAGGTTGTTGTTGTGGTGGTTGTAGTGGTGGTGGTTGTAGTGGTGGTTGTAGTGGTGGTGGTTGTAGTGGTGGTTGTAGTGGTGGTGGTTGTGGTGGTGGTTGTAGTGGTTCTTGTGGTGGTTGTTGTTGTGGTTGTTGTTGTGGTGGTTGTTGTAGTTGTGGTGGTAGTGGTGGTTGTAGTGGTGGTGGTAGTGGTGGTTGTTGTGGTGGTTGTAGTGGTGGTTGTTGTAGTAGTGGTTGTAGTGGTGGTTGTAGTGGTGGTTGTTGTGGTTGTAGTGGTGGTTGTGGTGGTTGTAGTTGTTGTTGTAGTTGTTGTTGTTGTAGTGGTTGTAGTGGTGGTTGTAGTGGTTGTAGTGGTGGTTGTAGTGGTTGTGGTGGTTGTTGTGGTTGTGGTGGTTGTTGTGGTGGTGGTTGCAGTGGTGGTTGTAGTGGTGGTTGTGGTGGTGGTAGTGATGGTTGTTGTGGTGGTGGTGGTGGTTGTAGTGGTGGTTGTAGTGGTGGTTGTAGTAGTAGTGGTGGTAGTGGTGGTTGTTGTGGTGGTGGTAGTGGTGGTTGTTGTAGTGGTTGCGGTGGTGGTGGTTGTTGTGGTGGTTGTGGTAGTGGTGGTTGTAGTGGTGGTTGTTGTGGTGGTTGTTGTGGTGGTTGTAGTGGTGGTGGTTGTTGTGGTGGTAGTGGTGGTTGTAGTGGTGGTGGTTGTTGTAGTGGTGGTGGTTGTTGTGGTGGTGGTGGTTGTAGTGGTGGTTGTGGTGGTGGTTGTAGTGGTGGTGGTGTTTGTTGTGGTGGTGGTAGTGGTGGTTGTTGTGGTGGTGGTTGTTGTTGTGGTGGTGGTTCGATCCCGACCCTGACGACGCTGCTGCTGCTGCTGTGTTTGGAGTTTGGAGTCTCTCTCCCCAGGATGTTAACTACATCGTCTGGTGTGCAGGACAATTCAGTAGTGGAAGAGGCAACAACACACACACTGACACACACACATTGACACACACACATTGACTCACACACATTGACACACACACACTGACACACACACATTGACACACACACTGACACACACACATTGACACACACACACTGACACACACACACTGACACACACACACTGACACACACACATTGACACACACACACTGACACACACACACTGACACACACACATTGACACACACACACTGACACACACACACACTGACACACACACACTGACACACACACACTGACACACGCACATTGACACACGCACACTGACACACACACATTGACACACACACATTGACACACACACACTGACACACACACATTGACACAAACACATTGACACACACACGTTGACACACACACATTGACACACACACACTGACACACACACACACATACTCACACGCACGCACCCACACACACCCACACACGCACACACACTCACACACACCCACACACACACTCACACACGCACTCACACACGCACACTCACGCATACACACTCACACGCACTCACACACCCACCCACACTCACACACACGCACTCACACATACCCACCCACACACGCAAACTCACACACACTCACACACACCCACGCACACACTCACACGCACTCACACCCACCCACACTCGCACTCACACTCACACACTTACACATACCCACCCACACACGTAAACTCACACACACTCACGCAATGTCGCTACTACCAGCACTCCACCACCATCACCACTATCACCACCACCATCACCACCATCACCACACCATCATTACACCGTCATCACCATTACCGCATCACCATCACCACGCCACCGTCACCATCACCACGCCACCATCTCCATACCACCATCAGCACACTCACAATCATCGCACCGTCGCGATCTCTCTACGCCATTACCACACCGATACCAAAACGGCCACCATCACCACACCGTCGTCACCACACCACCGTCACCACCATCACCATCATCATTACCACCATCACCACTTGAGCAAAATAACCAGCGTCACTACATCACCACCCCATGCACCTCCGCTTGTCATGGTGGGCACTATAGAATGCGAACGTGGTTGCAACATACATCCATCACTGCAATCACCATCACCCACACTACCATCACCACCACCATTATCACCATCATCAACACCGCCATCACCCACACTATCACCACCATCACCACCACCTTTACCACCACTATCACCATCAACACTGTCATCAACCACACTATCACCACCATTACCACAATCACCACCGCCATCACCCACACTACCACCACCACGACCACGACCACTATCGCCATCACCACCACTACCACCATCACCACCGCCATCGCCCACACCACCACTACCACCACCACTGTCACCATTACCACCATTAACACCACGACCACCACCACTGTCACCACCACCACTAACACCATCACCACTATCACCACTATCACCACTATCACCACCACCGCCACTATCACCACCGCCACCATCACCACCATCACCACCACCACTATCACCACCACCACTAACACCACCACCACTATCACCACTATCACCACCATCACCACCACCACCATCACCACCACTATCACCACCGCCACCGCCGGCTGGAGCTCCGTGGCTCCGCTGGAGCTCCGTGCTGTTCAGCGGCTTCCTCACCGAGCGGCCAAGTGGCCACCGCCGCTTCTTCGTGCTGCGTGGGGGCGACGGGACCGTAGCCCCCCTCCTCCAGTGCTACCGCAGCCCCCGGGAGAGCTGCCTGGCCTGGGGGGGCGGGGCGCCCCCACCCCCCGCCTCCTCCCGCTCCCCCACCCCGACCTGCCCGGCCCGCCTCGCCCGCCTCGCCCGCCTCGCCCGCCTGCTCCTCCGCCCGCCGCCCCGCGTCCTGCCCCTCGGCGGGCTAGGGGCGGCGGTGGAGCGCTCGGACGCGCGGGCCCCGTACGGCCTGGCGGTCTTCGCCGACGCGGGGTACCTCGCCCTGGCCGCCGACGACGAGGCCCAGAGACGGGCCTGGCTGGGGGCCCTGCGGGCTCACCTCCTGCCGGCGGCGGGCGGCGGGGCCGGGCCGCCGCTGGCCGCGTGGGAAGGGCGGCTGTGGAGCCGCCGCGGGGCGGCGGAGGTGCGTGCGGGGCCCTGCCGCGTCTACGTCCACGCCGGGAGCCTGCGCTTCGCGAGCCCCGCGACGGGGCCACTCGCAGGCAGGTGGCGGCGGCGGCAGAGGTCGCAAGCGGGTTTTGATTCCCTACCCGTAGCCTACGCTAAATGAGTGACAAACGGTGACTCGCAGAGTCCCATCGACCCGCAGAGACCCACAGAGACCCGCAGAGACCCACAGAGACCCACAGAGGGGGGTGCAGGCTGCAGGTTGTGGGGGGGTCTGTGGGCGATGTGCAGAGTGCCGCTTCCTTGTGTGGCAGCAGACGCCACGGCGGTGACCCTCAAGCTGGCGGACATCAAGTGCTACGGACACGTCCGCCATTGCTTCTCCGTCACGTGGGACACGCACTCGGAGCTTGGAGTTGGACGGATCCGGATGAAGGTACGACCTCGTCTCGATGTTTCTGTTGCACCACGGACACAATTCGTTCCCGAGGCCGGCGTTGACATAGAACCCCCGTGTAGCCTTAACAGACTGTAGGGGCAAGTGCTGTTAGCGAGCACCTATGAAGGCCGGAACGGCACACGAACGAGGGGGTGGGTGGCCAGCACCATGCCCGGCCGCCTTTGTCTCCCCAGTGGCGATGTTGACACACCGCACCAGGTACTCATTTGAGGCTGAGTCGACCTAGGGGAGGCCCAGGACTGCACACTCATGTTCACACACGCAAACACACACTTTCACCCGGTGCCAATACCAATCCTCGCCATTCGCCACTAAGTGGCGGTGACGTCACCACGGCGCTTGTGCCAGGCCATGTGCACCTTGAGGCCACGTGAAGTATCGAACGCCCGCTGGCAGGAGGTCACGGGGCAGACCCAGCAGGTGCCACGGGTCGACTGACCGAGATGACTGACTGATGCACCACATGTGCCTCCTACTACACGCGCACACACACTTTCCCAGTGGCGATGTTTACTACACACCGCACCAGGTACTCATTTGAAGCTGAGTCGACCTAGGGGAGGCCCAGGACCGGTTCAGATAATCATCACTGGTGTTGGCCGTGAGCGGGAATCGAACCCGGGTCTCCAGGTTCATAGCGCAGCGTAGCGCTAACCGCTACACTACCGCTCCCCACACGCACGCACACACATAGACACACACGCACACACACACGCACACACATAGACACACACACGCACACGCACGCACATAGACACACACGCACGCACACACGCACGCACACACGCGCACACGCGGACACACACACGCACACACGTACACGCACACGCACACACACGCACACACGCGCACACACGCACACACACATAGACACACATATAGACACACACACGCGCACACACACACGCACACACACACATAGACACACACGCACACACGTGCACACATAGACACACACACGCACACACACGTACACACACACGCACACACGCACCACACACACACATGCACACACACACACGCACCGCAGCCCGGTCGCACGTGACACCTCACGGAGGACGGATCGCTCCGCTTTGTTTTGTCGCCGTGACTTTGTGACGACCCGCACCGCCGCCCTGCCGCAAAGAGCTTTGCAGCTCACCGGATTCCCCTCCCTCCCTCCCCACCGCGAGCCGCAGCTGGAGGAGGGTGCGGCGGCGGCGGCGGCGCTGCACGGCGCGGTTCTGCGCGCCCGGCTGAGGCTGCCCAGCCACGAGCTGGGGAAGGAGGACGACGCAGGAGACGTTGAATGTCAAGCCGCTGGGTCCAAGTCAACCGAAAATTGAAATCAACCGGCCCCTCGGGCGACCGGGGAAAAGCATTCCGTGAGGACATTTAGCCAGAGCCGGCGTGCTGGCAAGGCCTGGCTATGTGAATTCAGACGAAAGCCTGTCGTGCAGGTGGGTGTATCGCCCTACGTGGCTGTTATTGTACGGCGTGTGGTGTCGTGGTTGTCTCGGCTAACTTGATTTCTCGACACGCTCCGGACAGGCTCACGGAGTAACATACACGCCGGGCCACGTAGAGCTTTGCCACCCGTACAGCCACACCGGCGACGTACAACTCTATAGCTGGCTGGCTGTGCGACGACGACGACGACGAAGAGACGGCAGTGATGACAGCGACGACAGCCTTGACCCGAGACCACCACGACAGCCCCAAACCCCCACTTGCCTCTCCCTTATATTTGCCCAGCGTGGCCACGCCCACCTCTGGAACTCTCTCGCTGGTTCCAGGAGCTTCCCAGTGAATCCCCACCTTGAGCCTTGCCCCAGTTAACGTGCCCCTTGTGGGTTCGGCCGTTGTATGACGCACCCGCACCTCTAGTTAACCCCCACAGTCAACAGGTTTTTCTTGGTTCTTTCAGTAAAGTCGTCACGTAGAATGGAAGTAATAAAATAATAAAAATAAAACATTAATTAATTCTCACGAATTTCGGCCACAACGCAAGCAGCCGTCCTCAGGTGAAGAGGAACAGGTCTGTCGGGGGGCGTGGTGAGCAGTGTGCGCAGTGACAGGTGGCAAACCCCGTCACTGCGCACACATTTTGTGAGGGAATAAAATGGGCGCCAATAAACGTCAATTATATTTTGCGACAAAAAAAATGGCGGATTTGATTTGTCGCGCGATTGCGAAGGGGGGCGAGGGGGGCCACGTGCTGCCGTACGAGGGGGAGATCCCCGCCACGGGAGCCGCGAGTCTCCCGCGGCGGGGATCTCCGGCCGATGCCAAGTCGCCGCGTCTGCAGTGAAGTGCCGTCTCAAGAGAAGTGCGCCAAGCCGTCGTTACAGATTCTTAGGTTTTTTCGGTAAAGTCACCAGGTAGGTAAAAAATTTTAATTGGTAAAATAAAATTAAAATCGCTTCCGTCTTCAGGTGGAACCGTCACAGCACGACAGCTGTATCAAGTGAGAGAAATTCCAAGAACACAGTACTTGTATATATACTGGTTGAGGGTGGGAGGAGCCAAGGTAGGCCCTGAATATTATTGTTGTGAGGTTCGGTGCGGCTGAAGCACGCTGTTAGGAATGAGCCTTTGTTGTGTAAACTGGGTGCGGCTGATGTACACTTTGACACCGACAAGAAGGTGCCATGACGGGACACCACGCACTAAACCTTCATTTCAAACGTAAAAAAAACGCCACGCAACGCCGAACACGAAGAGATACTCCGCCGTAGTTTTCCCGACCACTTTGTGGACTTTTATTGAATGCAAATGTAGTGGTGGTATTGACGTGCGCCGGCAGTGATGGATCACGGGGCGCGGGGTTGGGCACGCGGTGTGGGCGTGGCATGGACGCGCGCGCCGGTGGTGAGGCGCGCTCACACAAGCTGGGAAAAGAGGATCGTAGCGAGTGCGCAGTGATTGGTCAGATAAGTGGGTACTCTCAGCGACGTCCGCAGGAGGGGTATAAAGGGGGACGCGCGAGAGCACTCGTGGTCAGTGTTAACCAGTTGAAGACGGGGTGGAGGAGGTAGGGGCCCGAGACCCCTAGTCCCGCCGTCCTTGTGGGGACCGGGGCCCTGTGTGGCTCGGAGCCGAGACTGGGGGGACCGTAGTCCGACGCCCGTGTGGGTCGGGACGGTGGTACCCAGAGCCGAGACGGGCACCCCGGCTGGGTGTGTCCCGGAAGGCTACGGGGCGTAAGAGCCCGTGTCAGTACAGCTGAGTGGGTGTTGGTCACCCGTGTAGCTGAGTGGGTGTTAGTCACCCGTGTAGCTGAGTGGGTGTTGGTCACCCGTGTAGCTGAGTGGGTGTTAGTCACCCGTGTAGCTGAGTGGGTGTTGGTCACCCGTGTAGCTAAGTGGGTGTTAGTCATCCGTGTAACTACAAGTTGGTGAAAATAAAGAGTGTGCTACCCGTGAAGTCGTCTCCTGCCGAGTTACTACTTTACACAAACAAGGACTCGGACCAAGCCCCGTCCGCTCTCAAAATCCGGCAGAAGTGAAGCGCCATCTTGGGCGAATCGCAACCTTTGAAACGTCATAAGGGGTAAGCGAGAAAACAATCCGTTCAAGACCCACAGACTCATCACACAGAGACCCACAGACTCACCACCCAGAGACCCACAGACGCATCACACAGAGACCCACAGACTCGCCACACAGAGACCCACAGACTCACCACAGACCCACAGACTCATCACAGAGACCCACAGACTCATCACACAGAGACCCATAGACTCATCACACACAGATTCATAGTCTCACCACACAGAGACCCATAGACTCATCACACAGAGACCCATAGACTCATCACACAGAGACCCACAGACTCATCACACAGAGACCCACAGACTCATCACATAGAGACCCACAGACTCATCACACAGAGACCCACAGACTCACCACACAGAGACCCATAGACTCACCACACAGAGACCCACAGACTCACCACACAGAGACCCACAGACTCATCACACACAGATCCATAGACTCATCACACAGATCCATAGAATCACTACACAGACCCATAGACTCACCACACAAGAGACCCATAGATTCATCACACAGAGACCCACAGACTCACTACACAGAGACCCACAGACTCACCACACAGAGACCCACAGACTCATCACACAGAGACCCACAGACTCATACAGAGACCCATAGACTCATCACACAGAGACCCATAGACTCACTACACAGAGACCCACATACTCGCCACACAGAGACCCACAGACTCGCCACACAGAGACCCACAGACTCACCACACAGAGACCCACAGACTCACCACACAGACCCACAGACTCATCACACGGAGACCCACAGACTCATCACACAGAGACCCATAGACTCATCACACACAGATTCATAGACTCACCACACAGAGACCCATAGACTCATCACACAGACCCATAGACTCATCACACAGAGACCCACAGACTCATCACATAGAGACCCACAGACTCATCACACAGAGACCCACAGACTCATCACATAGAGACCGACAGACTCATCACACAGAGACCCACAGACTCATCACACACAGATCCATAGACTCATCACACAGATCCATAGAATCACTACACAGAGACCCATAGACTCACCACACAAGAGACCCATAGATTCATCACACAGAGACCCATAGACTCACTACACAGAGACCCACAGACTCACCACACAGAGACCCACAGACTCATCACACAGAGACCCACAGATTCACCACACAGAGACCCACAGACTCATCATACAGAGACCCATAGACTCATCACACAGAGACCCATAGACTCACCACACAGAGACCCACAGACTCACCACACAGACCCACAGACTCATCACACGGAGACCCACAGACTCATCACACAGAGACCCATAGACTCATCACACACAGATTCATAGACTCACCACACAGAGACCCATAGACTCATCACACAGACCCATAGACTCATCACACAGACCCAACAGACTCATCACACAGAGACCCACAGACTCATCACATAGAGACCGACAGACTCATCACACAGAGACCCACAGACTCATCACACACAGATCCATAGACTCATCACACAGATCCATAGAATCACTACACAGAGACCCATAGACTCACCACACAGAGACCCATAGACTCATCACACAGAGACCCACAGACTCACCACACAGAGACCCACAGACTCATCACACAGAGACCCACAGACTCATACAGAGACCCATAGACTCATCACACAGAGACCCATAGACTCACTACACAGAGACCCATAGACTCACCACACAAACCCACAGACTCACCACACAGAGACCCACAGACTCATCACACAGAGATCCATAGACTCACCACACAGAGACTCATAGACTCACCACACAGACCCATAGACTCACCACACAATCCCATATATTCACACAGAGACCCATAGACTGACCACACAGAGACCCATAGACTCATCATACAGAGATCCATCGACTCACCACACAGACCCATAGACTCACTACACAGACCCATAGACTCGTCACAGAGATTCATAGGATCACCACACAGAGACTCATAGACTCATCATACAGAGTCACATATACTCACACAGAGACCCATAGACTCATACAGAATCCCATATACTCACAGAGACCCAAGACTTCACACAGACCCATAGACTCACCACACAGAGATCCATAGCCTCACTACACAGAGACCCATAGACTCACTACACAGAGATCCATAGACTCACCACACAGACCCATGCACCTAGCTTAGCACAGCAGTCAACCCATGGCACCTGCTGGGTCTGCTCCGTGACCTCCTCATGCACCTAGCCTGGCACAGCAGTCAACCCACGGCACCTGCAGGGTCTGTCCCGTGACTTCCTGCACCTAGCCTGGCACAGCAGTCAACCCATGGCACCTGCAGGATCTGTCCCATGACCCCCTCCTCCTGCACCTAGCCTGGCACAGCAGTCAACCCATGGCACCCACAGGATCTGTCCCATGACCCCCTCCTCCTGCACCTAGCCTGGCACAGCAGTCAACCCGTGTCACCTGCTGGGTCTGTCCCGTGACCTCCTCCTGCACCTAGCCTGGCACAGCACGGCATCTGCTGGGTCTGTCCCGTGACCTCCTCCTGCACCTAGCCTGGCACAGCAGTCAACCCACGGCGCCTGCTGGGTCTGTCCCTGAGATGATAAGCCACTTCGCTAAGCCATCTCTCTCTCTGCGCGTGTCTGTCTGTCTTTGTGTCTCATAACTTTAATGTAAATTGTATTATGGTTGTCATTGTTTGATATGCGCTGATTTTTTGGGGAAGGTTTTTTCTCCTGGATGTTTCTGTTGCGCGTCGTCATTTTAAGATTTTATTTTTTCGTGTTTTTTGTTTGTTGCCCCATGGGTCACGTGGTTATACCTCAAAATAAATTAAACTTTAAACTGAAACTGTCTCCGTGTCTGTGCCTCTGTACATCTGTAACGGGAAGACATCTTCTGTAACGGGAAGACATCTTCTGTAACGGGAAGGCATCTTCTGTAACGGCAAGACTTATTTATATACTACACACTACACTACATTATACACTACTATACACTACACTATACACTACACTATACACTACACACTACACTACACTATACACTACACTATACACTACACTATACTATACACTACACTATACACTACACACTACACTATACACTACACTACACTATACACTACACTATACACTACACTACTATACACTATACACTACACTATACACTACACTATACACTACACTATACACTACACTATACACACTATACACTATACACTACACTATACACTACACTACACACTACACTATACACTACACTATACACTACACTACATTATACACTACTATACACTACACTACACACTACACTGTACACTACACTATACACTACACTATACACTACACTATACACTACACTATACACTACACTACACTATACACTACACTATACACTACACACTACACTACACTACACTACACTGTACACTACACTATACACTACACTATACACTACACACTACACTATACACTACACTATACACTACACACTACACTACACTATACACTACACACTACACACTACACTACACTATACACTACACTATACACTAGTGCTGTGCTAGTGACGAATT